GCCAGTTGCTGGTAAAGGGTTCGTAGCACAATCAGGATTATTCAAGTAGAAAATCTTAGAATTAGTTATCTGACTGTATGAAGAAAAGTGTAATAAGAAAACACATATTGGTCAATTTTGGGGTATACTGAATGGTAGATTAATTAGCAACTCTGTGTGGTTAAGTAATATTGATTATACGCTGTCTTAGATAGTTTTGTATGTGGAGCAGCCATGAACTTGTTTCTGCATGTTATCCAAACTTCAGACTGATAGAAATTGCAACTAGATCTCCTTTATAGTGGGTCTTCGCCATTTTGAGACGGAAATAATCATCTCAAGATCTAGCTGTACAAAACATGTAGATATTTTGTCTCTAGTATCAAGCTATGCATTATAAAATCGTAGCCAGACTTAAATAACTTACCATGTCAAATTATCTAAAACCATTGTCCGGTCATTTCAAAAAACCTATGTCGGTATTAAACCTAAACCTACCGGTCCACCTCCCCACACACCCCTAAAATAACAATTAAAAGTATTTCCTTCAGAATATTGTTACAAGCCAGGGGTCTTTTGCTTGACCTAGCGGTGTCAAAACCCTGGCGCGAATCCTACTAGAAGTCATAAGTTTACCCCGTATTTCCAAAGACTTCTATACAACTTCAGTTGTAAGTCGGAAAGCCCGACGTGTCCATTCAACACATAAATTTTACTCTAATCAATGAAAGACCACATTATTTACATCAACCGCACATCCGCATAGTTTCTCTACATTAACTTTCCGTTCCGCCAGTAGTTCACACGGTAGAAACTCTACAACTATCCTAACACTATTTTAACTGCGCCATCTGAGGCCAGTCGATTTACCGTTTCAAGGTACATCACACCAGTATACCTACATCACTTTTGCCACTATGGCGACATAAACGGTATCTTCCTAGTCCTTTCTCATTTATTCCATTGTGCAATTTACCGGTTTCCTACCATAAATACTGCCGCTGCAGTCACAACATCGATACACCATTAGATTTTATAAAGTACTACATCAAGACAGGAACAGTCATGTGGAATGGGTCTGAATTCGCTACTCATTGACCATGGCACCTTGGAAACTCACTAACACTTTCCGTGACGTTTGCTCCTAATAAATGACTAATTATATCGAGCTAAGGAATATTTCCATTTGCACCGAATTCCAATAAGCAAACAAGTAATCACACAAACCTACAAATTGCTTAAACTAAATGCACATCTCCAAAATTTTATTACAATATATTAAAAAAAAACTGTTTAACCTGCACATGAAATGTTGGAATTCATATCATCATCCATCACACATACACACACATACATACATACACACACACACACACACACACACACATATATATATATATATATATATATATATATATATATATATATATATATATATATATATATATATATATATATATATATATATAGATGCAATAAACTGACGACGAACAGTACGAAACTAGTAACTAACTAGCCTAAACGCTTTCGACTCTTAATGAGTCTTTTTCAAAGGCAAATACCAAACATATATACGATAAACAAAAAAAACACAAAAACGTTGTGTTTGTAAACCTCTACATGGCTGTCTTCACATGTGCTAAAGCTATAAATACAATCAGCTTGTATAGACTAGATGCGGAAACTGAAAACGTTGTATAATTCCCTAAAAGTCTACAAGCCAAAGCGACATCTATTTTTACTTTTTGTATATGTGTAACGCAGATTATATCCCGGATATTTGATTCTATACCGGTTATTCTTATAGTAAAAATTGAAGGATAATAAGAAGATTTAGAAAATGTTAAATTTTACTAGTGCATAGTTTTCATTTTCTAGTCTTCTTGGTTTAGACCGCTTGGTTTCAATGTTCTAAGGCGGCGTATCCAGTATGATTCCTTTTCCTTCCTGGTTTCGGAACTCCAGCTGTGGTTGTTAGCAATGGCGATAAGTATTATATCACTGAAAGTGTGGCCAGGGGAGGAGAAGTGTTCTGCAACCGGGCTTCTGTACAGCTTTTTTGTCATCCAATCAGATCTATGAAGGTTTATCCTTTTGTGTAGCTTCTCAGTTTCTCCGACGTACTGAAGGCCACAGATCTTACATGTGATGAGATAAATCACATTCTCTGTTTTGCACGTTTTGTTTGGACCATGTATGTTTAGCTTTTCTTTAGTCACTGTGCTAGTGAATGTCTTGGTCTCTATCATATGTTGACAGGTTTTGCATCTTTTATCGCCACAGGGTCCAGGATGACTAGGTTGGTTTTGACTAGCGATTGGCGTTAGTTTGGCCCTGATTAGGATGTCCTTTAGGTTTTTTGGTCTCCGGTAATCTACTACAGGTTTGTTCGGAAGTATTAGGTTTAGTATGTCTGACGATTGCACGGTTGGCCAGTGGTTTGCGATGATTTTACCTACTTTGGGATTGTCTGGGTGATAGGTCAGATCAGAATAAATGGTATCCTATCAACCTTTTCTTTCTGTCCATATCTGAGTAGGTCATCACGGTTTGTTTGTTTGGCCCTTTGGATTGCCTCCGCAATCAGGCCTTTGTCGTAGCCTCGGTAAATTAAATGTTTAGCCAGCTCTTTAGACCTTTCTAGGAATCTTTCATCGTCGGAGCAAATTCTGCGTATTCTCAGTGCCTGGCTATATGGAATGTTCTTAATGCAGTGTTTTGGATGATAGCTGGTTGGGAGGAGATACTGGTGTTTGTCGGTTGGTTTCGAGTAGATGTCTGTGTGTAATTTGTTTTCCACCTATGTTTTCCAACTATGCACTAGTAAAATTTAACATTTTCTAAATTTTCTTATTATCCTTCAATTTTTACTATAAGAATAACCGGTATAGAATCAAATATCCGGGATATAATCTGCGTTACATATGTACAAAAAGTAAAAATAGATGTCGCTTTGGCTTGTAGACTTTTAGGGAATTATACAACGTTTTCAGTTTACGCATCTAGTCTATACAAGCTGATTGTATTTATAGCTTTAGCACATGTGAAGACAGCCACGTAGAGGTTTACAAACACAACGTTTTTGTGTTTATTTGTTTATCGTATGTATGGTTTGTATTTGCCTTTGAAAAAGACTCATTAAGAGTCGAAAGCGCTTAGGCTAGTTAGTTACTAGTTTCGTACTGTTCGTCGTCAGTTTATTGCATCTATTTTAATTAATCCCTGACACACGTGATCCCTTGGTGGATCCAGTACGCTTGAAAGGGTTGTTATTCGCCATATGATTTGTATTCTTTATATATATATATATATATATATATATATATATATATATATATATATATATATATATATATATATATATATATATATATATAATTGCAAACTTTTGTAGATGTGTTTGCAGAACATTCTGTCGCGGTCACTGTGACGAGTAACATTAAGGGCTAGGTTCTCAACAACATGACAGTTTGTGATGGTTAACCTATCTTGTTGGGAAGGGGGCATAACTGAATTTTAATTAGAATCCATTTGATAACGGTGAGATAGATATGTTAACGTAAAGTCATGCAGACGGAAACGACAAAGCTAATACAAGCCTGAGACAAAATTGTTGTGAAATATCGGGCCGCACGAAGTGGGTGATATAAATTTATAGTTTCTAGAATAGTTATTAATAAAGGCGGTCTAGAGATAATTATTTTGATTTCGATGGAAGTGTTGAAAGTTCGAATATTAGAGAAAGTTAATCATGAATGGCTGAGCTAAACGATGGATGCATCCTACGCAAAATTTCACGGTTTAAGTATCATAAAACGGAGTTTTAGGCAGTCCAACATTTTCTCTGCTGAAAGGGGAAGCTTTCTCCTAGATCAGCAAAAAGAACCTTTCTCGTTAAATAAATCGTCCAAGGAATGTGCCTCTGAAAGAATTTGACAGTCCTTAACAGGCTGTCAAATGCTCACCTGTTCTTCAGTCAGTGTCATCAACGTAAAGCATAATTGCTGAGTATAAATTGATATTGCAACCATCGTGGAAAGAGTTTTAGCTTTCATTCGGTATTTAAAGTGACATTGATGGCCGCAAGCCATTACGCATATTGCACACAGTTAGAGGATTACTGGAGAATATTAAAGTTTGGGTTTCACCGCTATAAAAACAGGAACACTAGCAAATGTGGCAAACAGCATGGAGACTACGGGAATTTTAATATTGGCCTTCGATACGGCGGAGTCTAGGAACTTGAACGTTCGTGTTTTATTTATTGCTATGGGATCTACGGAAATTCAACGTCAAGGTGTCACTACAGGTCTTATGTAAAAAAAAATATCCATGCTGGCTTTAATGGTAATTTTTATCGCATTATTGGTTACATAGGGAAAAGGGGAAAGGTGATTCATTTACTTAGACTTGCTATCCAACACATCCATTACACAAAAGTTTATTCTGAAGACCTGCCTAATATAACATTATAATGAATAATATTATTTCTTGTACATTCTGATAACTCATAATTGGGAAAAGCAATCGATGACATAAGTCCTTAACAACATTTTTTTGTTTTATTTTTTTTAAAGCATTAAAGATAATATGTAGTTTGACACCTGTAACAAAAAAGCATATTATTTGCTAATATGACACCTGAAACCCCTACCCATCTCATTATTGTGTTAATTTGACACCTGCACAACGAAGCATCTATTTCGTGTGCTAATTTGACACCTGAAACAAAACTAACTTCATTTCATTATTGTGCTAATTTGACACCCGTAACAACAATGTATCGAATTATTTGTAATTTGACAACTGAAACAACAAAGCATCTCATTCTTGTGCTAATTTTCTAAATACAGGTCTGAAAAAGAGATTGTCTTCGCGGGGTAGATACAGACACAACAGAAACAATCTCATATGAAACAATCTCTTTATCAAATGAAAATCAATTATATACTAACATATATGAAATAATATTCATTCTTGTCGCCATCATTCATATCCACTAATTGCAAAAGAAAGAGTTCGCTCCGGTGGTTTAGTGGTTAGAGCGTCTGAATTGAATGCGGAAAGTCGCGGGTTCGAACCCCGGCGGAGTTACACCAAAGACATAAAAATGGTACTTGCAGCTGCCTCGCTTGGCGCTCAGCATTAAGAGGTTAGTTTTATGACTGGTGGGTGGAACATGATGCTACATGTCAGCGGCATACTGCCCCAGTGCTAGACATCACAATAAACTGTCACTTCAGACATCGTAGCGATATGGCTTAGAAGTTGTTAAAACTACGTTAGAAATCCAAATCACACACACAAACACACACACGCACACTCACACGCTGGAATCATGCCAAAGTATATATAGAAATTAAAATATAAGTAACTAGCGACGTTTCCATTAGATATTTTGGAAGGTTGTGCTATTTATTATCATTTATTGATCATTATGAGTCGATTTGTCTCTGGTGACGAGATTCCTGTATTACAAAGGTGCGATTTGTCATTTTTTGTTTTCATTGTTAATGTAATTTACCTTAATGAACACAAAAATGACCATCTAGCGTTCTAAAGTCTATGTGCCTCGCGGTTTGGACCTTTTCCCGTCAAAACTTTTCAGAGTTATGGTTTTTGTAGACATAATATCGACTGAAACTAAATACGACCTATGTTAATTTCTATAAATCTGACCGAGATGGGCCCATTTTTGGCTTAGAAGTATGTCTTTTTTACTATTGGAAGGGCCATCTGTGCCCTCTTCATGAATTTATGCAACAGAAAGAATTCGACAGGCTATATGTAAATTGACCTCTACATGTTATATTTTCTTTGCCACAAGCATCGACTTTCCGTTTCATCAAATTCTTACAAGATTTAGAAGCCATTTCAACCTCACATTCATTCACAGTCAGAACCTATCCATGTGCATAAATAAGTTTTTAAATCCACACATTCTCAAATTGAATCTATCCATGCGTTTATATGCATGTGCTTAAATTTTTGTAATAAGGATGTCACCGCAATCTGCTTCATGGAATTCTCAAAACTAATGAGACAATTGAGAAAACCCGGCAGTAAAAGTGTATTGAACAACCATACTAGATATTTTACGATCACTAGGGGAAAATGTGCAGCTGTTTTGTACTAAGTCTATGAGTGCATATTAATACATAATACTCTTCCCTTGGTAGCGTATTTTACAATTTACTTTTATGCAAGTCTTTTGTTTATAATTGGTACAAGTCTACAAAATACATTTTGTTGAAAGTCTATGAAAAGGATTACATGTATGTGTGGAACAATATCATCATATATCAGAATTTGCTGTCGGAGAAGCTGACTTTGCTTTACAGAAAGAATACATTGTTAAACTGAAACTTTGCAGCTAAGGTAATCACGTTTATTGATTGATGCTTTGAATATGATTTACATACTTGCCATGTGCTTGCTTGCAACTCTTCCTTCATTATTTATAACGTAGGATCAAACTTTGTACATAGGTCTTATAAATTTAACCATTTCTCATTTGGGGCAGGGTTGCAGTTCTGTTTCCTATCTTTTTCTGATTAATAGTTTTAATTAATAGTTTTACCACTTGCCCTAATCGCTGCCCACAATCACTTGCGTAGGACAATTTTTCTTGTTGCATTAAAATGTTTGTTTACAGAGATTTGCAAATAAAATAATGTACTTTAATATCGAATTCTAAGCTAAAAGATCAAAACTTTTGAAGTTATCTAAGCTTACGGTTACTATATCCTTTCTACATTTTGATCTGCTTTGCTGGATTTACCATGATGCCTTTCTCCCTTCCATACCGTTACCTCAATAAAGTAATAGCGTGCAGTCACCAATACAGATTATTTGACATGGCATAACTATTCATATAATTTCACACTTTATAACCATAGCATGTTGTCAGAACTGTAATGAAGTTTCCCCAAGGTAAGGTAACTTTAAATATTAACTCTGGTAAGAAAATAAAAACAATAATGTTATTTTAAGTGAAAATAATTTGATTAGCCACTGGATATGTGAAACCATTGTATCTAAGTAATTTGTATCTCTTCAAATGTCAAATTTCATCCGAAGTTATAAAAATGCGAGGGGTGAATGGATTCAACTATCATTACATATAGTACCTTGTCAACCAATTTAAATAAAGAAAGCTGTTGAGTTTGTTAGGACTGATACGTTTTAAGACACATATCAGTTTGAAATAAGTATAAGAAAATATCCGCCTTTCCTTTACCCGTGGCTCGTTATGCGGAAACAAACTCAGCAAAACAGAAAGGAGGTATTTCACCCAAAAAAATGAAAATGACATTTTTTGCACCAATCTTCTCAAGAATCGATTCCGAATTATGTCCTTTTCTACGGATAGTCGAGAAATAATCAATCCACGTCTTTGTTGCTTTATAAGAGACAGAGTGCTTTAGACAATAATGGAAGAAAAGCAACTGATAAATTCAAATCTGTTTTGACGAATCATTTGTAATAAAAGCCAATCTACAGACTGTTCAAAAACAGAGATAAACAAAAAATCATAGTCGCCATGAGGCTTTCAGAACATCATAGCTGACTAATTTTGTTGCATCTTTATATTTTAGAGATATTCCGAATAAGGAATATCATTTTTATAAATATGTATGACATAATATGACTGGTGAATAAAAAGGTAAAAAAGCATTGCTTCATATCACTGCCCGTCACATCTACTTACTCTAAAATGTGTAGTTTAATTAGATTGGCATTACCTGGCAAAGTAATAAAATGTGTAACACTTTGCTATTTTGACCTTGGGCCAAGGTCAAGTTTATGGTCGATTTGGAATAAGGTTTTGGTTCAAGGTTCAAGGTCTTCCACACCTCTAAATGTCTTATGTTCACATACTTTGAATGATATAAAATGTAGTTAAGAAAGTCAGACTGAGACAACCACTCGTCCTTTTGACTTTGGGTCAAGGTCACCGTAGTAAAGTTTGCTAAATTTGTTTTTGCTTGCATTTCTTTAACCCTTTGATAGCGTCTTTTCATCTTTTCATACTCGTTATATATCATTAAGAAAACGTGAAGACAAAAAAAAAACATTTTGCAGCACACTCTTTCACCAGTCTAACCTTGGGGTCAAATTAACACGGTTGCCAACAATGTTCTGTGTCTGGGTCCAAAATGTATGGTATTTTATTGATATCCTTTGTAAATATGAAGCCATTATTTATGTTGAAAGACTGTTTCAGATTTGGTAATCGCTGTTTGTCAGTCGGGTTGGACGTATAAACTGACTAAGAGAGTAAAATGTTGTTTCTGGAAAAAATAACGCACAATACTTTTAGAGAAATCTTTCCACCTTGGTAAAACATATGCACCAATTATTCTTTAAAATCTCCATGACAATAGCTTGAAATCATTTTAGTCCAAATTTCCTGGAAAGTATAAATACCGAATCAGCCCCATCAGTTTTTTCAGTGCAGTAATCTCTTGTTTGTTTGTTGGCACTTCTATTGTGTCTTTGGTCTGTGTACATGTGTGTCTCTGAGAGAAGGGGAAGAGAGGTAGAGGGAGAGGTAGTGGGAGTGAAAAACATACACTGCTGTGAGATGGGAACGTCCCACCCTAGAATCCGAATTTTTAGGCAGATACGAGGTCTCGCCAAGTTTGTACCTGAGCATGCCCATCACATACGCATATGATGGATTACTGTTCTCTCAGTTCTTACTAGAATCGTGGTAGGATAGTAAAAAAATAAAACTAGTGTAATAATAATAATAATAATAATAATAATAATAATAATAATAATAATAATAATAATAATAATAATAATAATAATAATAAATACGTAAAATTGGTACTGATATATCTATAGAAAAACGGAGTATTTTCAAATATTTTACCTCATTAGAGAGAGCATAACATTAATTGTCGCACACAAGAATTACATTTTAGAATCCGTTACTCAGTATTCACAATGCGTCATTTTTACTTCAAGCTTCACTGTGCCTTTAGATTCATTGTGCGTTTAGAAATGTGGTAAAAAGAATCCTTTATTACGTTTCAATGCAGAATGGTAGAATAAAAATATTGTGCCAGGTACTTAAGAAAACTTCGTGTCTAACACAAAATTCTGACCATCGGATGTAATTTTCCCATCCCATTCAAGGGCCCTAATACTATCACAAGTGCAAACTCTATCACACACATACAAACTGTACGGGAATGAAATAAATAAATTTGCGTTCTCGAAGATCTATTAATTTTTGTCAAAAAATGTTTTTCCTTGCTGTCATCAAACAGCATACACCTTTGCTGTCACGTAATCCTTATTGTCGTCAAACAATGTAATTCATTACACTCCCAAACAATGTAACACCTTATTGTCATTAAACAATGTAATCCTATAGTCATCAAACAATGTAATATGTTATTGTCATCAACAAATTTAGTCCCTAAAGTCACTAAGCAATGAAATCCCTTATTGGCATCAAATAATTGAATCGTCTACAGTCACCAAACATTGTAATCAAACAAAGTAGTATCTTACAAGGAAAAATGTGATTCTTTAGAGTCATCAAATAAGATAGTCCATTACTGTTATCGATCAATGTAAACCCTTCCTTTTATCAGACATATTAAAGTATGTAGTCCTTTACTATCATTAAACCATGTAGTCCTTTACTGTCATTAAACCATGTAGTCCTTTACTGTCATTTACTGTCATTAAACCATGTAGTCCTTTACTGTCATCACCCAGTATAAACCCACAGTATAAACCAAATAACTGTCATCATACAATATACTGTCATCATACAATGTAACCACTGTCAATAATCAATGTAGACAATTACCTTAATTAGACAATATCAACTCTCACTGTCATTAAACCATGTTTAAACCCTTACTTCATGAAATCGGGGCCCCGAGTTGCTGAGTGGTCTAAAGCGATCTCCGTTACAAATCACTGCCATCTCACTTCTGTCTGAGTGGGTTCCAGTCAAAGATTCGGCGAATGTGGATATGTGAGAAAGCTTGCCAGTAGCTTCTAATTGGTCGGTGGTTCTTTCCGAGGATTCTCCTGGTTTCTTCATCCACCATTATTACTGGCCGCC